TGTAGCAGACTTTTTGTTAGGGTGTAGGAGAAATATCTTCATTTTTCCTGTTTTGATAATGATAGGACATCAATATACATTGTGGTCAAAATGTGTTGCCATTATTTTGGGCTAGTTTCAACAGCAGCCCAATGGTCTGCTCTGTGGGCCATGTGATAAATTTGTTATCGCATGGTTGCTGCGGGCCTTATGGCATAGTATTGCCCCTCGAGGTTAGCCCTCGGGGCTACGGCCCTCGGGCTAACCTCTCGGGGCAATAATATGCCATAAGGCCCTCGCAACCATGCGATAACATATACTTACCGTACCGTATATCGATATAGACTTACCATACCGTATATAGATATAGACTTACCGTACCGTATATCGATATAGACTTACCGTACCGTATATAGATAGACTTACCATACCGTATATAGATCCGTCTGTCAGTTTCCCAGTTCAGTTGTTGCAGTCTTTACTTCCGTTTTCTTAGTCTTACCTTCACTTGAGTCTTCCTGTGCTCATATCATTGTCTCTTCGTGCAATCACTCAGTTCAATATTATTCCTTGAAACTACTACTTGTGCAATTGTGAATCGTGAGAGAAATTCAGTTTGTCTTGTCACTCGGTCACTCATTACAGTCAGTTATCTCAGTTGCCTCTGCTCTGTGTGGCCTGCGTACTCGTACATTTGTCGCTCAAAGATTACAGCTGCGCACGAACCCCTTCGTCTGCATCAGAACAGCCGCCATCCCAGTCCAAGAGATCACATCGGCTTCAAACAATCTCCTGAAGGAAGGGTATCTCGAGTGCAAGATTGTGGAATGCAAGGAGGCATCAGTATCACCTAGCATCACTGGACAACCACAGCACATAGCTCATTGCATAGATTTAAGATTCTCAATCTGATTTTTCCCGGCTTTGATGTTCAAAGCAATGTCACGTCTCTTTGTGACTTTGGATTACCTTGATGCGATGGTCAATGTTCTCCTTGCAACGTAGACCCCTCATTCGGTCAAGAAACGCCAGAGATGTGATTCGTTTAATGGCAGTGTGGATACTGCACCACTCTTGATCGGCTTTGATACTTTGGGCCACACAGGTTAAAACAGAACACCGCACTTTCAACCCCTGACAGAACACTGCACTTTCAACCCCTGACAGAACACTGCACTTTTAACCCCTGACAGAACACTGCACTTTCAACCCCTGACAGAACACTGCACTTTCAACCCCTGACAGAACACTGCACTTTCAACCCCTGACAGAACACTGCACTTTCAACCCCTGACAGAACACCGCTCTTTCAACCCCTGACAGAACACCGCACTTTCAACCACTGATGTGCGCAACTTTGGACAGTTGAGTAGGAGAGCTTGTAGTGATGGTGGCCAGCATTGGAGCGATCGCCTCCGACAAGGCAACGGTGACGGCGGAATGTACTTCCTGCCGCACAAACTGGCGCAAATCGTCATTCCTACTCCGGTCCGAGATCTGGGGAGTAGGAGAAGCTGCTGCAACACTCTCCAGATCCTGCTCTTGTTCCTGCTCGTGCTCTTGCCAGAAGGACGGCATGGCCGACGGGGATCGAGGTTCCCGTGCCGCCGAGCTCGACGTGTCCTGGATCCTGAGCAGCAAACGGGCAAGAAGCTGGGGCTTTGTTCCGCTCGAATTCAGCTCACAGCCTTCCAGCTCGGCCCGCAAGTCCGACACGTTCATACGACGTGCTTCAGAGGTAGACAACATGTTTGTCGTGCAGTAAATGGCTGCGAGGAAACTACAAGGAGTCTGAATAAATAATTATATTCTCCTCAAACAAATTCCGGTTGCTGCTCAGTGACACTGCAAAGGAAAGCGCAAGCCAAAGTCAGCGCAGCAAGAGCTACCCAAGGCGATTTGGGCGCGCATGCGCAGCATTGAGTGCACGTGTAAAGCCAGCTCAGTTGCAGCTAGCATGAGATAGAGAGCAGCGCATCCCAACATTTATGCCATCATAAGGGAGAAGCCTGATGGGCAGTGATGACACATGATTGCGTATGGCTTGATGCCATGATGAGGGAGACGCCTGATGGGCAGTGATGACACACAAGTGTGTATGGCTTGATGCAAGTGCTGATACATGATCGTGTATGACTTGATGAAATGGTGAGGGAGGGGATAACCGATTGGGAACGATCATGTGATTATGAATGATTACAGAAATATAGATACCGAGAGAGAGAGAGAGAGAGAGAGAGAGAGAGAGAGAGAGAGAGAGACACAGAGAGAGAGAGAGAGAGAGAGAGAGAGAGAGAGAGAGAGAGAGAGAGAGAGAGAGAGAGAGAGAGAGAGAGAGAGAGAGTAAGAGAGAGAGAGAGAGAGAGAGAGAGAGAGAGAGAGAGAGAGAGAGAGAGAGAGAGAGAGAGAGAGAGAGAGAGAGAGAGAGAGAGAGAGAGAGAGAGAGAGAGAGAGAGACTGGATGGATGAGACTCCTGCACGGACGAGTCCAGTCTTTGATGTGGTTGAGCCTGTTGTGGCGATGCAATGCCTATGCCACGTAAGCTATAGGGTGAGGTATTATACGTAAACCTCACCCCCCCCCCCACCCTAACTGGGCCAGTTATATAGAGCCGTTATGTGTGCTTTTATGTCTCGGTACCTGCTTGACACCTTTTTTGTTGTTGTTGTGGCACGCGGGGAGTGTGCGTGTGTGTACAGTGAGCATGTGCACAGTGAGTGTGTGTAAGAGTGCGTGTGACTGTGCATTTGATACAGCATTCCTTCTCTTCCAGAAACTGAACGGACGTCCAGCCCAATCACGGAAGTACGGCACCTCACATTGAATTTACCGACCGTATTACTCCATGATGTAGCACTCGCCACCTAGCAGGGGAACTTTCGGGCATTTGGCAAAGATTTTGGCTGCTCAGATTGCACTGCTGATCCTGTTATCCTGGCTGATGTGTGCTTGCCCGGTTGCCACCAAACTCAACCTGGCCAACTCAGCGGTGACCATCCCAGGGCAAGTCGGGCCAGGTCTCCATAATGTCCACAGTAACTCTACAATTGACCACAGAAGGTGGCCACAGTGCCCCAGACTTTGGCACACTGTTGCCACACCGCTTGTTTTCCT